CATTTGTAGGAATCTGTTTCACTCAGTTTCCAAGGTCACAAAAGTGTCAGACAGCGGCGGATCCCGGGAGGCGATGGGGGAGATATTCTCTTATCGTTCTACTCTTGTTTTTGTATATTGGTTTCTCTCCAAATGCGTGTTTTTGAAAGCCCTTTCACAATGGTACTTTTTGTTCAATTTTAGCGCACTTAAATATTCAATCGCATCACAATGACTAAAATTTCATACTTTTTTAAAATTTCAATACTATTCATCTTTCCTTTCTTACTTCTTTTTTTGGCCTTAGAATCTTTGAAATTCTCGATGGCCATATTGATATTGTTGTTGTAGTGGTGCTGGTGGTGGTGATTGTGATGGTTGCTGATGATCTTACTGGTGTCGTGGTCAAGTTGATAAGTTGTCAGACTTGATTCACGGTTCGAGTCCCTTCGCGGCACTTATGTCCTTTGGCTAGACATTAATCTATATATGCTGCTCTTCACCCAGATAGGGTTGTGGTTGGAAGGGATTCCTTTGAATGCTGTGATCACCGAAATCGGTAGCCTAGCAGATTACGATTAAAGATAAACTCCAGTACTGGTAAAAAAAAAAAAAATTCTCACAGTATCAAACGAAACTTACACTGAATGTTCAAGAGTACAAATAAATGACATGTGCCAAACAATTTTGGAAGAAAATGTATACTGGCTGAGTAACGAGCATAGAAAGACAAGGAAATCAAGGTAGTACTAGCCCCGACACCATGTGCATTGTCCCATATTTAGCTTTCTATGTGAGTGCTTGTTACTTTACCAAGACTCGGTCAAATTTATTATGATTTTGATGACTCCAGAACCTTGCAGTGCACACCAATACTTACATGCTACATGATCAACCGTTTCTGATCCTTTCCACACCTTTTCTTTCACAATGCAATCGCATTACCAGTACTAAAGTTTATCTTTAACAGTGGAGCGCCTCGAGCACCTCGCGTGGTGGATAATTATGTGCGCTTTATCCAATATTATTCATGTTCATGTCAGAAAATGTTGTGTACACCCCCCCCCCCCCTCTCCACCAGAGAATCCTGGATACGCCACTGTTTAAAGTACAGTTATTCCACAATGGCAGACAATCACACCGACGTCTCTAGAGGATTCCTTGGCGCTCATGCCCTTGACACCGGTGACGGCTAGCAAAAGTACTTCTTTGTGTTTAATTTGTGGAGAAGAGACGAAAAAAGCGCATTTTTGAATTATCTAAACGAGGTCCATTACTTTACAGGGTCAATTACTCTCAACTGTCAAGGTAATTAGACCGCGAAGTGAACTTGAACTCTTGAAGAGCAAGAGAAAAATATATCCGGTCACTGATACTGATGTTGGTACTGATGATTCCAGAACCTTGCAGTACAGCAATATGTCTAATGCCATGGTCAACCTTTTATGATTGATTCCACACCTTTCCTTTCAAAATGTAATCGCATGACCAGAACTCAACTTTATCTTTAATAATAATAATAATACTCAGTTCTTTTATAGCGCATAACACATTACAGTATAGCATGTCCCTATGCGCTTCAAATAGAAAGGAAAGAATTACAAGAAAAAGTCATACACATTAGAAAATCCACTTAGAAACAAAGAAGTACATGTAGTGTTGGACGCTGAGTTCATGAGTGTACAATTTTAACATTGAATAAATACGTTTTAAGAGAAACCTTAAACTTGTTCAAATTATTGTGATTTCTCATGGAATCTGGAAGTGAATTCCATAAGACTGAGGAGGCGTGCATAAAAGAACGTTCACCGTATGTTTTTGTTGAGGTGGGAGGAACAATAAATAATGATTTTGAGCTTGATCTTAAAGTACGAGTAGGCCGATATAATGATAAAAGTTCACATAAATAAGAAGGGGCAATGTCATGAAAGCATTCGTATGCAAAAACTAATAGTTTAAACAAAATACGGGAGTGGACAGGAAGCCAATGCAGATTTCGTAGTACAGGAGTAATTGATTCGTATTTCCGAGTTCGGGTCACTAATCTTGCCGCTGAATTTTGAATAGTTTGCAATTTTTTGATTTGTCGCTGAGGAAGACCGAAAAGAAGACTGTTACAAAAATCAATGTGGCACAAAACAAATGCATGGACTAATTTTTCAGTGGTGGACCTATCCAAAAAAGCACGTATTTTTCCAATCCTATACAAAGCATACGAAGCAGCGCGACATTTTTGAGATATAAAATTCTCAAATGTCAACCGACAATCAAAAATCACTCCTAAGTTTCTACAAGATCTGTTTGCATGTAACAATGTCCCATCTAGATCTATAGACTGAATAGATTGCGTTTCTCGAAAACGTGAAGAAATGTGGAGGAACTCTGTTCTACTACTGTTTAGCTTCAGGCTATTTAGCTGAGACCACTCCTTGATGGCGTGTATACAGTTTAAGATTTCAGTAGTTGGATCAAAATCATTAGACTTTTTAAAGGACACATACAGTTGCGTATCATCCGCATAGAACATCTTTTGTATATGAAACTATCTATTATGGACTCCAGTGGAGAAATATAAAGCGTAAACAAAATGGGACCTAACACAGATCGTAGTACAGGAGTAATTGATTCGTATTTCCGAGTTCGGGTCACTAACCATAATTCGAGTATTTTAGATTTTTCATAAATTCCACATCAAGAACATGACATCTCCTTGATAATAGGGAAAAAAAATGAATGATTTGAATCAACATTTTATGCCTTTTAAAATAACTTTAAACAAACATTTTCAGAGACGCTAACAGCCTTCCATCATTGTAAAGTCCAACTTAGAGATAATTTTACTTAGGATCTTTGTGGAACACCCCTGGAACTTGGAAGAATTGTCGTTGGAGCAAATATCGATTATCCTGTCGTCTGTTGCATGGTGCTATCTTTGAATATTTAGCGTACCTGGCTTACCTCGCGTACCTCGGTAAGAGGACACTTTTCTTTTTTTTGGTCTCGAAATTTGAAAAATTGACATTTTGCTCCGGTGGGGGGGGGGGGGGGTCACTTTTTTTAGGTCAGCCATTGGCATATTTTTTTATTTTTTTTAAAATAAAAAAACACAAAGGGGGGGGGGTTGCTCCAAAATACACACATAAAAAAAAGTGAAGGGGGAGGGGGTTAACCCACAACCCCATCCCCCCCCCCCCCTGCGTAGGTGCCTGATGTGAGTCATTCTGGTTCATTGTGGAAAATAAGAGAATTATCGGTCCCCCAGGCCTCAACTTCTCTTCGTTCTAGATCCTCACCAGAATGAAATTTGATTCTGCCGCTAATAGGTATTCCCCGAAAAGTTTCTTACCGAAGTACCTCTGTCATAATTGAAATTTCCTTTACATTTTTTATACAAAGGGGACAGGATTACACCACGTCTTTCTGCAAAATTACAGCAGATTTTAGGTAACCTTTCCTTAAACTGGGAGATAATCTTGAGCTCTGGAATCAGTGGGCATTGTATGTCGAGAGAACATGGCTATAATTCCTTCTGGATTGTTTATCCTGCAGTAGATTGATCGTTTGAACCGGTAAAATAAAAATAAAAAACTTCACGAAAAAACTTGCTTGAAATCATCTTCAATAAAACCCCAAATCTCATTTGCACATTGTTATGCACATGGTATCGGGCCTTGTTACCTTGATTTCCTTATCTTTCTATGCTCATTACTCAGTCCTATACATTTTCTACCGAAATCGTTTGACACATGTCATTTATTTGTCATCTTGATGTTATTACCAGAACTCAAGCTTATCTTTAAGCAACCAACGCGATTTATATTCATCCCTTTAATTATATCTTTAATGGTATTTTTCTACAACACTCGGGACGAATAATGAACGTTGACATCACCTACATGAATCCTTTAACACATTTACATGGCTTTATCAGACCTTCACCAATTCATAAATGTGTAAAAGCAAACAGAGACGTACTAATTCCAATATTGTCGTGACAATGCCCATGAAGTTTCATAAAGAAAGGAATGTTGATCGAGGTTGGGGAGTAAAAAAAAAAAACATTCACATTGTTGTTGAGCAGATGAATCATCGTGATCAATTGAGCGGCAATACACAACGATGTATAGAATTGGTGAAGTCAAGCAGGGGGGGGGGGGGGACTTAAAAAAATTAACATTTAATGTTCTATTGTGCAGATATATCATAATGGTATGATACAACCAGTTTTGTTGTGATGTTCAGAATATCATGAATAGAACCCCGTCGGCTGCACCCCTGTCGAGAAAATCATTTAGGAGCATTGCACTCTAAGTCTAACTGTAATATATGAACATGAGGAAGTAAGCAGAATATGTAAGTAAAAGTTCACTGTATACCAGACTGATTTCACCCCTTGAATACAAAGGTAGCATACTGACTTTAATATATTTTTTGTTGTTTAATTATCTGTAGGCCTTTAAGTATATGACAGGAAACTCATTTCTCTTTCAGCCTATACTTATGATAAATGCTTATTATTCTGCTCCAAATTGCAAACACATGGAGCTATATGTTTACACAAGATTACATGAATGATTTACCTACAAGCTATTCCACTATTTGGACATGATAAGCGTGTCACTAATGTTGAATCAATGAATTGATATAATAATGACAGTAATAATGATGTTAATGATAATAATAGTAATAATAACAAATACAGAGATAATAATAATGATAATAATGATAATAATGATAATAATAATGTTTATCTTGTACAGCGCACATTACATGATAAAACGTTTCTATGCGCTTTAATGCAAATGTGGATAACATTTCCCCTGCTAAAGCTCTGACAACCGTTGCACTCAGTGCATTTAAAGGTAATACAAAGTTTTGGTATGGGGTCATGAATTCGGTTCAAACAATCCCCTCTATTATTATAATAATATTCGTGTATGTTGAAACAACTGCACACTAACGACGTTCAAATAAAAAAGTGTAAACAACATTGCAATAATATAAGTAGTATCCTTGATTACCTTACTTCGTTGCAAGTACAACTCGTGGATGTTGTTCAGCGTTTGTTAACGTTAGACAATGGCATAACATCCAAGTTAGGTTCCTACTGAAATGCGATGTTTGGGTCACACCAAGGAGTTACCAGCAATAATAATTCCGTCTTGATTGTAATTATTTGATCAAACTTGGATGGTAGGTAGACAGAATATGTCATCGATTGCCAAGGTCACAAACCTATCCTTCATTGATGAACCAAGTCATTGCACGAATGATCTTTCTATCGCCCAACCGTCTCCATTTCATATTGTACACTAATGCCAGGGGCGGATCCAGCCGGCGGCAGGGGAGGGGCCAAAGAGGGGGCCCAATTCATGAGAAAATATTTAGCGGCGAAACAGCCAGCCGGTGAATAACCAGCGGGGGGGGGGGGCAATTTTTTTTTTAATTTAACATTTAACTTTCTATTGTGCAGATTCATCATAATGAATGAACCACGACCTCAATATATCATGTCAAGAGTTTAAACCACTCAACAACAATCCTCTCTATTATCATAATAATATTCGTGTATGTTGAAACAACTGCACACTAACGACGTTCAAAAAATAAGTGTAAACAAAATTGAAATAATGTTGATTACCTTACTTCGTTGCAAGTACAACTCGTGGATGTTGTTCAGCGTTTGGACAATGGCATAACATCCTAAATAGTTTCCTACTAAAAGGCGATGTTTGTGTCAATTAACCAAGGAGTTACCAGCAATAATATCTCCTTGATCCTTGGTCTAACGCAATGGTGGGTATAACCGTGTGTAATTGTTTGCTCTTCCATGCTCTAATGATTATCAACGACATACATGTTTTCTAATTATAAACCCGTTTTATGTCATTCATGTTCATCGTTGATATTTTTTAGAGAGGAGTATTATTGTATAGTACTGTTAATTCCTGTTGTTGATTTTTTTTAGGTAATGGGTCACAGCTTGTATAAGTAACGATAGATTATACTATTATTCTCGTTTGTTTGTTTTGTTTGCTATTTGTCTGTTTGTTTGTTTCGGAGAACATAACGATTGATGAATGATGCACCTATACTTCTTTGATGTTTTGTTTAATATATATATATTTATATTATAGGATTCGTTCATTCCATGGCGAATTGAATGGGGGCTTCAGGAGCACACCCCTCCCAATCTATAGCACAAATTCCCATACGAATGGATGAATGAAATATTAGCACACAGGAGTTGGAGGTGCCCGCCCCCTCTTTCTAAAATACCTAGGTCTGCCACTGTAACTTGATTCCACGTGGTGGGCCCAATGACCTCCCCACCCCTCCAAATCAATACACTGTCGCCCTTTTGAGTTTTGACGTTTTGCTTTATTTGATCAAACTTGAATGGTAGACAGAATATGTCATCGATTGCCAAGGTAACAAAACTATGCTTCACTGAGCTTTTCAGTCGGTGATGTTTCCGTACAAGTGTAAACGGGTGCGCGAAACATCGCGACTTTTCAAAATGAGGTATTAACTAAGCCATTGCACTTTGGATCTTTCTATCGCCCAACCACCTCCATTATGGTAAACTAGTGCGTCGCAAGAGGGTTAAGGGGAGGAGGGGGGGGGGGGGGGGGAGACGATATGACATCCTAGATCCCATACGCTCAAATACCACACAAAGTAATTCTAACCCTAATCCTACACCTTACACTAATATTTGGTGCTGAGCTTGGCGATATATTCTGCACTTCAAGTTTATTTGCCCTTTTTTTTTATACAGTTTTATATATTCATAATTTTCTTCTGATTTAATCGCAATTCCATCTTTTGCTGCCTTTTTATTTGAAGGAGGGGGGGGGGGTGTGAATCTTATTCTCTGTCTGCAAATTTGGTCATACACTCCTTATACTAACTATTTTTGTGACGACCCTGCTCGCTGATGAAATCGGGGGGGGGGGGGGGGAGTACTCACATACGGGGATGTGCCACTCTAATGGGTAGCTTTTTCACACAAAAAATCCCTAAACATGGGTTCCACTTTTTACAAATTATCACTAAACATGGGTCCGTTTTTCAAAACATTTCGGATGTCTTGCATGGTGAACACCCGAAGATTGTGAAAGATGGGCCTATATTTTTTGAAAAATCTGCCAAAACTTGACCCTTAAGAATTGGTACGGATTTCGAGACTTGAGCGGCACACTCCAGTCCAGTCAAATGTGAGTACCCCCCCCCCCCCCCCGTGGATGAAATATTCGTTCTAAATGACCGTTCATGAACTTCACAGATAATTGCTCGAATGAACACACACTGTATTTTACAAATATGTATATAGCTCAGAAAATGCTTAAACTCTTTCATGACAAAAAACCATCGATATTTGTCATAATTATATTGACGGTACATTATCGATGATCAAAATGTTAAAGCCTTCAAGATAAAGTCAGGTGTGCATGGTCACGTGGACAAAACATGACACGTTTGACATACTTATAATGATGGTACACATCGATGATCAAAATGTTAAAGCCTTCAAGATAAAGTCAGGTGTGCATGGTCACGTGGACAAAACACGACACGTTTGACATAATTATAATGATGGTACATATTATCAATGGACAAAAGTTAGGTTAAAGCCTTCAAGATAAGGTCGGGTAGTGGTCACGTGTACAAAACATGACACAATTGACATCATATTATACATGTATTGATGGTACATATCAATGGACAAAAGCTAGGTTGAAGCCTTCAAGATAAAGTCGGGTAGAGGCCATGTGGACAAAACATGTACCATCCATTATGATTATGTCAAATATCAAAAGGTTTTGTCATGAAAGAGTTTAAGCAATCTCTGAGCTATACAAGTGTGTGTTCATTAGAGCAACTAGGGACTTTTAGATTCGCACGAACACAATGGGGATTGCTACGGTCGACGTCCTTTTAATGCACTGCCTTCAATGGACGTCACACGTATCAGCCCACGCAAATCTAAAAGTCCCTATTATCTGTGAAGTTCACGCACGGTCATGCAGAACGACTAGATCGCTTCCAGACACGGTTGTCCGTTCTCACTCACCGTTAGACCGATCTAAGGGGGTCTTTGGCTGTTCACACCGCAATGAGATAGCGCGGTCTATCGTAGCACCCCCTTTTTTCTAGCGCGCGCTAGCCCGCGCTATCTCTCGTGGACCACCCCCAAGCTAGAGGTGCTCCAGTGTTGGCTCGCCGTGACTCGCTGTTGGGCGGACCGAAACGACGTTGTACCTTCCAAACCGCGGAGATAGCGCGGTCTAGCGCGCGCTATCTCTGCCGGTGTGAACAGCCTCTTTGTCTATCTGTTTGGAATTCCCTTAAAAGGTATTCCAAGACCCATTTGCAGCCAACATCAAATTCTGTAGAACTTTGCAGGAATTATGAACTTTGAAATTTAAACGTTATCAGTGTCCTAATATTCAAATTATGCAAGGGAACCCGCATGTTGAGGAGTAGGTTGAGCATATCTCACTCTTCTTATGTTACTCGATCCACCTTTCCTTCTTACTCTTTCTTACAGCGCATATATATATATACATATTGTGATATGCGCTATACAAGTAGGCCTACGGTATGTTATCATTAGTATTACTACCTTGACTTCACTGTCAGACACTATTGGGGTGACTATTACTTTATTGAATGCAATTTTTAAAAAGTCGATTCGACAACTAATGGTCATTATTTTCCCACTAAAAGACATTTCCAAGCCCTTTCGTTTTAAGGAAAGTTTTAAATTAGTATTATCTTTCCTAAAATAAAAAAAAATCATTTTATTTGCTGGCAGGCTATAAACACCTAAAGTGCCCGCAGTTAGGTCAAGGAAAAGATTTAGAGGTCATTTTTGGCAGTTTCGGAGCAAGTGGATAGCAACGCCTTTTTTTTGGGGGGGGGGGAATCCGCATCACCACCACTCTTATATTATGTTATATGCAGGCGCGTACGCAGGGGGGGGGGGGGGTTTGGGGGGTTAAACCCCCCCCTTTGGAAATTTTTTGTGTGTAAACCCCCCTCAAAAAAACCTAAAACCCCCCTTTTGGATTTTTTTTTTTTTTTTTTTTTTTTTTTTTTTTTTAATTATTAAAAAAAAAAAAAAATAAATAAATTATTCCCATGGCCGACCTAAAAAAGGTGACCTTACCCCCCCACCCAACGGAGCAAAATGTCAAATTTCCAAATTTCGAGACCAAAAAAAAAAAAAAAAAGTGTCCTCTTACCCCCCCCCCCCCCCCCCGCTTATTCAGCGGTCGGCTGAGTCGTTGCGATTTTTTTGGGACCAAAAAAAAAAAAAATGTGTCCTCTTACCCCCCCCCCCCCCCCCCCCCCCCCCCCCCCCCCCCCCCCCCCCCCCCCCCCCCCCCCCCCCCCCGCTTATTCAGCGGCTGGCTGAGTCGTTGCGAAATTTTCGGACCGATTTATAAATGTTAAAACCCCCCCCTTGAAAAAATCCTGCGTACGCGCCTGGTTATATGAATGCCCCGCGGAACGTTTTTTTAAAGTGGGGGGGGGGGGCTAAAATGTTAATGATAATTTGCATTGGGCCCAGGGGGAGGGGGGAGCCCCGGAAGCTTAGGGTTTTTAGGCATTTGATTACGGTCAGATGAGCATATTTTGATATCTTATTTGTGACACCGGCAGGTCACTAATTGGCGTGGGTTCCAGGGGCGGAGCCCCCTAAAAGCTCAGGGGTTTTAGGCATTAAATTACGGTCAGATGAGCATCCAGAGGCCGCCTTAAGGCCCCTTGTGGGGTCAAGGGAGTGAAGCCCCCGCAAGCTCAGGGGTTTTAGGTATTTAATTACGGTTATGATGAGCATATTTTGACACCTCATTTGTGATGCTGGTAGGTCATTATTCTTTTCTGTAATAAACACATAGTGTAAACTGTGCATTTTCTACAATATTTACTTGTACATTTTGAGGGATAGTATACGAGGAAGGTTAGCGACCGAACGAGAGGATGTTTGCATTTTTATTAGTCAAAACTTGGCACTCTTGAGTCTCCCAGAGTCTAAAAGTGTGTTGCAGTCTTTAGTCAGTGTTTGGCGTACATTTGTTTTCATTTCTTCTCATTTTTATTCAAATTTCCGGGGGGACGACCCCCCCCCCCCCCGTTCCCCCGGATCGCCGCCCCTGATTATGACCATTGTGGGTACGACTAAATTACAATTTCGAAAGTTTTGAGATAAGTATTTGCAAATAAATAAATGTTGGGAATATTATATATCATTGGCATCCCTGTCAAGAACTGAATGAA